CTCTCCCAGGAAGGCAACTTCCTATCTATTAGCAATTGCCAAATGCATATGTTGTAAATGAAGATGGGTTGAGGGTTTGGCCTTTGTTCTCATATGCCGCCTATTCCATGCTGGAACACATTCTCTCAGCACTGACCACAGACACACATTGACCTTGACCAAAGAATTATCCTTTAAAGCCCTCACAGTAATGAGGCTACTATCCAAACATCATGGTCAAGGGATTCCTGAGTCAATGGCACCTAGCCTAGTCCTCAGATTGCTTAGGTCGACGAGTTCACAATGGGTTAGAGATCCACCCAACTATCACCTTTCGAGGGCCGAGCTCCCACTAGAGCTAACAAATCAGTAAAAATGATTGATAAGGTGTCAAGGCCACCCAAGTCCGACAAGATGATGTACTTTTCTCAACAAAAAGGGAAGAAATTTACCACATTGGGACACAAGCCTGGGAATTGGATATGGGTCAAACAGATGAGTTTAAATGCTAATAAAGGTGAAGGGATGTCGTTGCTCTCACCCCAAAAAACACAATTGAAGCTTTGATCTATACAATTTTTGATAACTGCAAACCAAAAGCAGGGAGTCCCAGAGGACGGAGAACAGCTTGGCGGCAAAAAGGGCCACATGAGCCCTCAAAGTCGTGCGACCCATTGTATCATGCTTAATCTTGCCCCAAGAAATTTTTTGTAGGGGCAAACTTATTGACACTTAGGGCGTTGCAGGGATTACATAGCTATGCACAACATTGCTATGGTGCTTTTTGTGATACAGAGTGTGCTACTAGTACATTCTCCCCTATGGCTGCTCATAGTTGTGGCCAAGTCACATGTGACATTTTTATCATATTTGTGGGCATCCTTCCCCTCAAGATCTTTTTAGAAAGGCTGAGGCGATATGAGTTTGGGTTAGGGCCCCATCACAGAAAATTCCCCTCCATCCGATAGTTTTTGGGGAACCCCGGCTTCTTTCTACTTTCTATTCTTACTTTAATTTTTTCACTTTTAATTCTTAAAAAGAAAAAGAAAAAGAATATTATATTAGTAAATCATTAATTTATTTATTACTTGTCTATAGTTCAAAGTTTCATGTTTTCTCCTCTGATAATTTTAAAATATTTATCGATAATTTTTGCACTTTAATTATCCTTCTTTGTATCATTTCAATGTTTTGTGCTTGCTAAGAAAACAAGAGAAAAAGAAAACTAAAATAAACACCTTTAAGAACCACCAAGAAACCCCAACCCTACATATGCATCTGATTGAGTTGCAATAGACTCAAGTTATATATACCACACTTGACATTAATTGTGCCTAGTGCTCATTCTCTTTTATTGTGCACTTTCTTGATTGATACACTTCTTTTATGTGTGCTTCTACTCCATTATACATACTATCACTTACCAGAGCACACCCACCAAACAATTTCAAACCTTTTTCAAAAAACTAGAACATATATTAAAGTTAGAAAGGGCACCCTAGAACCTAGAGGAATGGAAGTTGCCAATGTATACCATTAGAAGGAGCAGCCCTCTATATATTCCTAGCCTCTAAGAGTATCCAACTTAGTTTAGGACCCAATAGCCGCTCACAACGGTCGGCTTAGTATTAAAATGAGTGTATCCAAATCATCTTACTAATTTCAAATATTTTCAATCCGAATACACCCACCTTTGACCAACCTTTATAGACTTAGGTCAAAACATTTAATCATCTTCGTGTGGCATATTCCTAGTTAGCCTCATAGACCATATCTGTAGTCCAGCTCAAATGCTGAATCCATGACTGCTTTCCAACATAGGTCAAAGACATCACAATGCCTACTTGAGGGGCATTGTTCCTATGCTCATTGTATAATAATAAACTACAGATTTACATATTTAAACACCTGAAAAACATGTAAATCTTTCTTGAATCATTGTTCATAATTACCGAAAAACAAGAGTAAAACAGTAGATATAAATATACCTTCAATGATCCAACAATAAAAGAAAACGACTATTGTTCTGATCTCTGAAGAGGTGGATCGGCCTTCACATCTTTTCTCCTCCAAGCTTGATGGGAAACTTCCTTATGGTGAATGAGCAAGAGCTGGGACCATCACCTTATATCATTTCTTTATTATGTTTCTTTTTTTTATCCTAACCCATCATAGGTAGCTATATTCAAGTGAGAGTGGGGAAGATGATTATCGTTAATCTTTATCTTAATATAGGATAATCGACTCACTTAAATTGTGTATAATATTATCCTTATTCAATTATTGTTAGACTACAAGTTGGAGATATTTTCGAACATTCTCCCACTTGGGCTGATAATAATTATAACTAAAAATACATCCTCAATTTAAGCAAACGCAAAATACTATCTCAAAATCAAGACTTTGACAAGTGAAACTACTAATACCAAATCATGAAGGCTAATTGTATTTTATAAATGACACATTGATGTTCCATGGTTATAACATTAGCACTAATACTCTCTGTAGTTTCCAACATGTAACCTTTATGGTGGACGAAAACTTTATGATATGGAGAAATCCATATCCCACTTAAAAACGATTTAAAACTTTATATCTTATTATCCTTATGTATGCATATAAAACATGAACTTTGATATATCCAACATACATAAATCAAACTGAATGAGTGTCACATAATGTATGCTAGTAGTATAACTCCCACTGACCAAGTGTATCCTACATGTTAGTTAAATCCATATGAGAAACATGTTTTGCAAACTATTTGGGACTCAAACCCTTGGTCAAGGTAACAATGATTATCAGTTTAATACCGATGTGCTCAATGGACAGTACAAGTACCCTTACCTTCTCCCTTATAATAAGATATTTAATTTCTATATGCTTGGATAAGTCCAAGCTCTTATCGTTTTAAGAGAAGAAAACTGCAGTGGAATCATCACTGAAAAATATAAATGGCTTGGAAATAAAATCTAGAACCCGAAGCCCCGAGATAAAACTATGCAACTACAAAGCTTGCTTGATAGCCTTATAGTAAGCTGTAAATTTTACTACCGTAATCAACGAGTCTATATGGAATGGCTCCACCAACCATCATGAAGATATAACCTGATGTCGACTTCCTACCATCTGGATAAACATCAAAATCTATAACCGAATATCCAATCATATCAAGATGAACATATTTACTTTATGTGAGCATAATGTTCTTTATCCTTTGCAATAACGTAATTATTTTCTTAGCTGCTTTCCAATGTTCTAGCAGTTGGTTACTCTGATATATAGCAAATACACTGACTATATTGGGATAGGTGCAATCCTGAGCATGCATTAAACTTCCAATAGCTAATACATAATGAATATTTTTTATATTCTTCCTTTATAGGTTATTTTTGGGATATTGTAATTTTTTACTTTATCACCCTTAATAATAGGTGTTATTCTTGGAGAACAATTATGCGTATTATACCTTTTGAGCACCCTCTCAATATATATACCTTTTGCGATTGTCCCAGAATCACACATGAAGCTACACCCAAGTCCTTCATATCAAAGATAAAAATAGTTATTTCATGCAACATTTGCATGTAACTGTTGGCAGTAGAATGTCATCTACATATAGAACCAAAATAGTGCATCTGCTTCCACTGAACTTGAGGTAAATCCCTTTGTCCACAAGATCTTCACAAATCCAGAAGACTTAAAAGTAACAATTTACCCTAAATCTTATTTCTTTTAAAAAAGGCTTATAAAATGTGGCTTTTGAAGGGAATCTCCATAGACGTAAATGTCTTAAACTAGGCTTCCTACTAGTCCATATTTGAAATAGGGTATTTAGAATAGGTCTTTACTAAGAACATGATTCAACGTATAAATAATAGTCTTCAGGGCTCCATGTAGATAACCATGCAAATTTGAGTTACAAACAATGCTCCTTATTTGACTATTCTCTACGGCCTTTATCTTGGGATATGTCCAAGCTTTCTATGCCACAACATAAAATATTCTCATTCACATTTTCATGTTTCACATTACACACATGAAGGGATAAAAGAAATTCAACAAAAATAAATTTCAAATTCAATTTATAGAGGCTGTCACATAATTTTTTAGAACCCACAATACACTTACTATGAAATAAAAAGTAATTTTCATTACCAAAATTAAATTAATACTATAAATATCTAAGTTTCATACTTGCCCAACAGTTGGCACATTAAGTCTATCTGTTAAGTCTACTATAAAACTACCATCTAGAATTAACCTAACTACCCATATTGTATTTATTTCTTCCTCAACTCCATTTGCCATCACAAGCCTTCATTCTCCATCAATGAGTCTCTGATTGTTGATGGATACCTTTATTTTCCAACCACTTCTTATATTTGAAGCAATCTCTCTTCGAATACCCATTCTTTTTGCAAAAGAGGCATTTTCTTACCGTCCCAGTCATTTTTTTTTTTTTAATATGAAGAATAGTCCCATTTGATTGATAATCTGCATGTGTTCCACAACCTTTATTTTCTGATGCTCTAAAGGTTCCTTTTCTGCCTGAGTTAGTCTCTGCTAAATGGGCAACTTCTAGCTTATTTTGATTTAATCTTTCTTCTTCTTGAATACACATAATTTGAACCTCATTCAAATTCTACTTTTCTTTCTGAGTATTATAAGCAAGCTTGAATTGATCATACTGCATAAGCAAAGAGTGGAGAATGAATTACACCAGAAAAGCCTCTGAGATATCTATGTCCATAGACTTCAATTGATTTGTAATATCAATCATTTGCATAACATGGTCCCTGCTAAAGGTGTGACCATCATACCTCATGATCAGTAACTTCGTCACAAGGGTTGTTTGCCAGGGCTTTAGTGGGGCCTATAACTTGTTCTTGTATCTTGCTCATAAAACTCTTAGCATTATCCTCATCAGGAATAGCATCTCGTATAGTCTTACTGATAGACCCGTTCATAATTATGAGGCTCGTCTTGTTAAACGTTTCCCATTATGCATATTTAGCTTTCTATTCATTGCTCTCATGGTTGTGCTCAGGAGGTTCATCTTCATGCAAGGATAAATCAAGATCCAAAATACTTAGAGTGCTCTCAATCTTTTGCTTCCAATCAGATAAATTAGATCCATTGAGAGTTTCAATCCCAGCTAAGTATCCAGTAAGTGCAGAGGGATTTATAGCTACCATGTTTTTAAAACAATTATGCTTACAAAACTATATTTACCCATAAAATTAAGTAATTAACATTTTCATTGTTTTAATATCAAGTACCTTTAGTAAACCGATGCATCATCAGAATGGATCCTTTGGGCCAAGATTATGACACACTAATGGTCTCTTATTAGTGAACAATCAATTCTTATATCTACTATAGGGTTGCGTGATCACAAAAATTATAGATAATGAAGACATTACTCATTTAGGTTTAACGTCATCTAAGTCTATAGTGCTCACACCAACCACCCTATTCCACTAAGTTGTGCAGATAAAAAACCACATTTGGGTTTGATTTTTATCTGTAACGGCTCAACACCAATTTGTGGGCTCCTTGACGATTCACACAATTTTTTTTTAGTCAAAATAAAACAAAACAAAAATATTAAAAATCATTAAATATTTTAATACCATCCAAGTTCTCGTGATTGCATCACTTTGGCAGTTACACAATCATTCCAACTTGTTTGATTTAAAATAAGGATCACCCAACCTTAATAGAATGAACCAATTTAACCTGGTTTTTTGTTTTTTAAAACCAATTTTAGTCTACTAAAGGACATTAAATTGTGGATAATATTATCCTTATATAATTATCGTTAGACCACAAAATGAGGATATTTTCTAACACATTACTTATTAGACCCACCGAAAAAACACACGAGAATTGAAAATGTCAATGTCATGACACCAACTTGGAACTGCTGACTGCTAGGTCTGCATGGCCAGAAAGACCTTGAACAGTCGAGGTATTATATTAGAATCAATTCTCAAAGATGCAGTCGAACTAGGGTGGAGGTCCAAGCCTTGGAGAAGATCAAGAGGTGACTTTGTCCCTGTTAAACCTAGAATCTTCCGCTAGAAGTAGGACCACGAGTAGAGCCTCTAGCCATAGACCCTAGTCGAGGGTGGGCTTTGGTCAAATCCCTCCTACAAGCCCTAAATAGATGAATAAATCCTTGACTAGCAGCCACAATCACCTACTACTTTCAAACCATGGCCAGCCCTAATCCGCAGGCCCATAAATAACCATCCTAAGGCCCATCACCATCACCATTGGCCGACAACCCTCAGCCCATAGGTGTAGCATACGAGCACCCTACCCAAACCGCAAGTCTCCGTTTAGAAGATGATTTTTTTTAAAAACTCTAAGATTTTTTAAATCCGTTTAGAACTTCAAGTTTTTCAAAAGATTTTCAAAAAATCACGTTTTTTTCATGAAACCGATTTAAACCCGTATTTATATTTTTTTTAATTTTTTTTTTTAAAAAACTTCTTTCCTATAACTTTATTCTTCATTAACTTAATAGTAGTGAATTTTTATTTAAAGATAAGCAAATTAATAGTAAGAGTAAATTAAGAATCTTGATTTAAAGTAAAATTCCATAAAATGTTTCACCAATAATTTCTGTTAAAAAAAAGTATACAAAAAATATGTTCCGTAAAAAATAAGATATTAGAACGATCGTACATCTCGAAATAATAGGCAGAGTTAGAAGACTAACCCAATGAAAAATATACATATATATATTTTTCTCTTTAAACTCATTGCATCCTTATATATAGAGCATTTTGTGTGAGATTCAAAATTGCTTCAAATTTTTGTATACTAAAAGATTTAAGCAGCTAGGAATCCAGCGTGAGATTCGAATTTGCTTAAACATTTTGTTGCATTCTTTATATATATAGAAGTTTGATTAATTTTATTTTTTTATTTTATTGGTGTATAGAACATAGCATTTTGGATGGACTGCTATTTTACGTATTTGAGTATGTATTTTGTTTTAGTTAATTACAATCCTTTACTAAGGGTCTTTTTTGTGTTTTTTTTTTCTTCAAACAATAATTTTATATCTTAGTTTACAGTTCATATTATCTACTAATGTAGTTCTTGTGCTAAGTATTATTTGTATTTCATTTTATGCTCGAAATAAATATGTGATATGTTTTATGTTGTGACAACAGAATAAGCACTGTTGTTGGATTTGTTGAAATTTTAGACAATAAATTGTTAAGTATCACTCTAACGACGCTAGAAATTAAGGTTGAATGGCTTTAATGTATCTATACAGTAACTGCAAATCATAATCCTATATTATGTCATCTTTACATATCTAATTTTTTCACTCTGTTTTTTTAGACAAGTCCAAATTATTCACGACTTTATAACTTGCCTCATTTTTTTGCGTTTCATATTTTTTACCCTATTTTTTCCACCGACTTTTTGAAACAAAATCGATTCATTACCGATGTTTTGGCTTTACGAATATATTATTATTCCCCAGACACCTTTGGTTCAACCATCATTAGTGTACCCACCAGTCAGACAACCCTTGGTAGGAAGCAAACCAACCACACAGGCAGTTCTTGTCGACCCAGCTCGGTGAAAAAAATATAGGCAGGAACCTGACAAAGATGGAGGATCCATGGCTTTGAGCCCAAGTCATACACCTAAAGGAAATTCCAAGACCTCCCACTAGAGTTCATCCTTCCCACATTCAAGTTTTTGGGACGGAAAGGGAGACCCTGACTACATGGCACCAGCTATCTTTTGACCGTGACTGCATCGCAAAACTAGCCGAACCACCTCAAGGCTATGTTTGCGCATAATTTAGAAGGGGCTGCCCTCACATGGCACGACAATTTCATGAGGGACAAACATCAAGCCATTTTGTTCATAATCCATCATAACGTGGGCAATCACGACCCATTTCATTGTAGAAAGGGTAGATCTCTAAAAAAAATCATCACATGGGTGTGAGACTTGACTTTTCTAGATATATGTGTCAAATTTAATGATGATCTTTTAAGATCCTACACACATGGGTGTGGGAGAATCTCACAAGGTCATTTCTCTTGTAGGAACTCATTGCAAAAGATCAATGAGTCGCTTACAGACTTTGCCATAAGGTTAAAAAATGCTCTCACTGGCCATTGAGTGTCCACTCCCCAAGCTCGCAAAGGTGGGCCCGATACTTAAAAAAACCCCTCTAAGTACAAGCTCTTTATTAGTCATGGTGGCATGCCTCTCTCAATCAACTCGATGCTAAAAAGAATCGCACTATACGAGAAACAAAGGGGACGTCAGCCCTCATAAAACCGGTCCAAGAATCATATATGGACCTCCTAGAGTTGCTTGGGGGTTCGCAGAACCCAATCAACTACCCACCTAAGTGAGACGAACAACTAAAACCCCTAGAACTCGATGACATTGAAGGCATGGACAGGATGTAAGCCCCTCATGAGCAGGACGACTTCATAATTGGAAACATCAGCATCATCAGGCCAGTGAGTGAGCTAATCCAATGAGCCACAACACAACACTTCACGCCTAAGTGCTGCCTGCCATGGATTCCTCATTCAATGACCCATCCAAGACTCGAGAGGGCCACCTTAACACGGAAAAATTCCAAAATTACCACTGGTCAACTCCGGAGCCAAGCGGCACATTGACGCCAACTTAGGGTCAATACCATGGGCGTTGAAAGCCCCATACCTAAAGCTTTAAACCTAACATCCCAGTCATAGGACATTCATGGGCTTCTGATGAGGCCCATTAGACTATCTATTGATTAATTGTTGCCTCTAATGCCAGCAGATACCGTTTGATGAACAACTTTTGAGTCAAGAAAACATTAAGAAAAAATAGTAGGTCAAAAAAATAATAGCTCCATGGTATTCCTAGTTTGACAGTGTGCTAGCAAATATAATGTACTTGGGATATGGAATATAGCACCCATACCCAACATGCACCAGACAGTGGTGATGCAAGATGAGAGCTACTCTCCACTGCCCGTCTTCGGTTTGATGGGGATAGTAGCACATTTCAACCACCTATGAACGCATTAACACATCTGATGTTGGATGAAAGTACCCTGTCCCTTATCAATGAATGAGGTTAGGCTGGTTGAATCCTTAATTGAAAGGCAGGCGCAATCTTTTTTTTTCACTTATTTCCAAATAACTCCGCTCCACTCGGCTCCATCCAAGATACTAAAACCATATAGTTCATTTCTTTATATACCAGCAAGATTGTCCATCTCAAAAAGACACTCTGGTGTGGAGAGAGAGAGAGAGAGAATGGAAAAGGCATGCAATTTCCTTCTCAATCCAGCAACAATAACAACATTTCACATCATGAGTTTGATATTTGCGAATTAAAGGTTTTCTCACTCGTTTTGAGAAATTATGAATCTGAGGCTCTCAGCCTTGGAACTAGAAATGCATCGCAAATGAACCGATTAATTCCAGAAAGAGATTGAAGCACAAGCAAAATAATATGGTTATTTGGTAGATGGGTAAACAATGTCTGAATAAGCTTAACTTCGAAAACCACATATTGTGGACTCATAAATGATAAGGAATAGTAAGCATAACAAATTTAAGGGCACTTTCATGCTTACTCTAAACAGCAAGTGGAGCAAGTTAGAAATGGTATGTGATTGGGACATTCTCAAAATGAGAGAGCTCTACTCTAGTCTGGAAAATGATCCTCTCACTCACTCTCAACACAAACACGCTCACACAACAGAGAGAGAGAGAGAGTGAGGGGGAGAGAGAGAGAGAGAGAGAGAGATAGAGAGTGGAGGGGAGAGAGAGAGAGAGAGAGAGAGAGGAGGACGGAAGAAGAAACGAAAAG